TTTAATTTAATTTTTTATTAAATTTGATTAACTTAAATTGAATCGATCAGATTGTATATGAACACTCTTATGCGGTAAGTTTTTCCTAATTTCCTTCTTTTTCAAAAAAAAAGTTTAAACAGTGTTTTTACCTCTCCTTCGTAGATGTTTCTTGGGCCTTTCAATATTCTTTTATGAAGAAGATTATGTTATCAGTTTTGTGAGACAATAAGTAAGTTCATTCTTTGTGGATGCCTCTGGGGTTCGCTTGTCTAACTTTCATCTCTCCTCTTCCTTTGCAGCATCGTTAATCTTTCTTCGAGGCCTAGTAATAAATTGTGCTTTGTTTGATGAGATTTTATCCTCGAATTCGATTCGTTGTTGATGGGGGATCCTTTATAAAGTACAAGGTGGCGTCAGAGGCGCTGTTGAAGAGGGTGTCAGAGGTGGAGTTAAAGAGCGCGTTAAAGTGGCGGTCAAAGGCGTCGTTAAAGGAGGCGTTGTTAAACGAGCAGTCAGAGGCAACGGTGGGCCACGTTCAGAAAATTATTATACCATCGGCGCCAGGCATTGCGGAAAATATACCCATCCTTACCGGTGAGGTGTGTGTCGCAATTGACAAAGCATTTCGGTTGTGTATATTATTATTTTTAATAATAATAATGACAGAAAGACCCAATAATTTGGGGTTTGGATTTTTTCTTTAAAATTTAAATTTTTAAAATGACTGGCCAGAGGTTCGTAACATGGAGATTGTGTTGACATTTGTCCATATATAGAGTCCATGCTAGAGAGGAGAAGCAGTCGGTGAATTAATTGAAAACCCTGGAGATGAGAGAGAGAAAGAGGGAGATTTGGAGGATAGAGAAGAGATGGTGATGGAGAAGGAGATAATGGGGAAAAATTTTACACTTTAAATTTTCAAAAGAAAAAAGAAAAAAGAAATTTATGACCCCTACGAGAGATTGTACCTATTATCCTGTTGACTTGGTAATTGTTATATTTCAGGAAAATGAATCTGATGATATCTCAGCAAACACAGGTGAAGCTCTGGACGGGGCACTTCTGAGCAGAAATACAATTGCTATTCCAATATTTTTGGAAAATGGATATGATATTGAAGCAAATAGAGGCAATGTTCAGGATGGATCGAGTCGGAACAGAAAGGTGATGGCCAACCTGTTGGGATTAGGCCCAACACCCGCTTCGGGCCACATGCAATAGGCTTAGTTATACGCTCACAGGCCCAAGATGAGGAGATATACTCACATGAGCAGTAATACGTGGACCAATTGGACAAATATATGTCTGAGCTCATGTCAGTATATGGGGGCTATAAATACCCCAAACTACCTCCATGCAAGGTATTAACTCTACCACGCTTCTCTCTCTGCAATTACTCTTTGAGAGCATCTCTCTCTAGAACATTGAGTATTGCTAACTTGAGTGTCGGAGTGTTTTCTCTGAGAAAACATCCTTGGGAATTTCAGGTGTTGAAGCAGTTAAAAATATCTACCGTATTGGATCTCGAAGTTGCTTAAACATTTGGCGCCGTCTGTGGGAAACGAACCAAAAGCACTGTGACTTAACTAATATGAGCTGAAAATGGTGCGCACCTTTACAGGAAACCACCCGCCAAGAGGCAATGTGGACAACCAGGATAAGACTCAGGTGTTGGAAAGTGATCTCAATGACTTTCAAACGCTGCAAAGAAACCTCTTCGTTGGCAGTGCAGAACAAGAACAATCAAACACTTCAGATGATGATGAAAGAACACCTATAGGGTATGCAACCCAACCTGAAGAACAATTTCACATCTCGTCTGAAGCTAGACGAAGGCATTCCATGCATAATACTACACGACCTGTGGAGAGACCTGTAGAATCTGCTTGGACGTCCGAGCTGGAAGAAAGAACAAGAGTTTTAGAGATGGCCATGGGAAAAATTCTCTCTCACTTGATCCCCGATGACCTTTTAATTCCCTTGCTGAATAGGGGCGAGCAACCCGCAGCAGTAGTTGCAACCCGCAACTCCCCGACCTTAAGCAATATAGTGGTCCCAACCAGACCAAGAGGAAGTGGGAAATTAAACCCATAACCTAGCTCGTTTAGGCACAATGAAGAATTACTAAAGAAGAACGCTAACCTTAAAAGACAACTCAAAGACGTACAGAAGTCTATTGATGAGCTAAAGAGTCCCAGGTCGTGCCAGCAGGCTCTCGACTTGGATAATGCCCCTCTCAACTTGTCCATCATGGTTGAACCATATCAAGAGAGGTTTAAGATTCCTCATTTGTAAACATACGATGGCTCGGGAGACCCGGATGAACATTTGCATACTTATCAAGCCATCATAAAAATTCAGAACGCCACTGACGCCATGATGTGCAAAGTCTTTCCCGCGACATTGAAATCCACGGCCAGAAGATGGTACCACAAGTTACCTAGACATTCTATAGCCTTATATTCTGAACTCACCACTTTGTTTTCAAAGAAGTTTGTGAGTCAAAGAGAAATTAAGCATACCGCTACTGAGCTGATGCAAGTTCATCAGAATGAGGGAGAGTCTTTAAGGGACTATATGCAACAATTCAACAAGTCCACTCTGGACATTGATAATGTCCCTAATACCATCTGCTTATCTGCTTTGTTGCATGGCCTCAAGCCTGGCCGGTTCTTGGATGACCTGCTAGAGAATCCACCTAAGTCATGGAATGAAGTAAATGACAAGTTGGCAGGTTTTATACTGTCCGAAGACTTTCAATCCTCTAACAGACGAGCTGATGACAGACAGGGTAAAGAGCACAGACAGCCTGAGGGAAGGGATGAAAAGAAAAAGCAGAAAGTTGGCGAGCAGAGAGAAAAACCACATTCCTTTCTGAAATATGACAGTTACATTCCGTTGAACTCGTCAAGGTCCTAGATATTGGCACAGATATAACACTGGGTCAAGAGACCTCCTCCCCAAACGCACGATTCCTCACAAGCTGACAGAAGTAAGTATTGTGACTACCACCGTGAATACGGCCACAACACGGAAGACTATCAAAGCCTGAAGGACGAGCTGGAATTCTTGGCTCGCAATGGAAAATTGGAGGGATATATACAAAAACCTTATGCCCGGCAACCCAATCAGACCCATTTCGTGCAAGAGTATGGTCGATCTCAGGCACATGGATATCAACTCAGCAACAACCAAATTCCTTACTAAGCGAGTCAATACTTGTCCAAACCTAATAGAACTTACAGAGGACACCCATTCAATAGGCAAGGGCAGGGACAGAAAACATCCACATAAAATCAAAAAGACCACAGAGGAGTTGGATATAGTGAGATACCTCTACCATCTTGCACAATCAATATGATCTCTGGTGGCATGCATTCAGGAGGCCAAAGTGCTCGAGGTCGTAAGGCTTATGCTCGCCAAGTAATGGCGGTAAACAAGAATAGACCTTTAAAACGCCCTTTTGAAGAAGCAGAATGAGAAAATGCACCAATTACATTTAGCCCGGCCGATTACAAATGGTCAGAGGAAGAACCAGATGTCATGATGCCCCATGCTGATCCCTTTGTGGCGACAGTTCATATTGGCAATCATAACATCAACAAAGTCTTTATTGACACAGGCAGCTTTCTTGACATCCTTTATTGGAGTTGTTTCTAGAAGATGCAGCTAAACCTGAGCTCTTTGAGGAAGTATAAGGGACCAATATACGAATTTGACAACCAGCCCGTCCTTGTTGAAGGAGTGATTACCCTTCCCATCTATGTGGGTGTTAAACCACGGTTTAGGATGGCGTCAGTAGGTTTTTTGGTCGTTAAGATGGACTTAGCTTTCAATACTATAATGGGAAGAGCTAAACTTTATGAATTGAAAGCTGTCATTTCTCAACCACACCTGTGTATGAAGTTTCCAACTCCTCAGGGTGTAAGTGTGCTCAAAGAAAACTAGAAAATGGACAGAACCTGCTATCAAGACACTTTTAAGAAGGTCGAGCTCGCAGTGACACCTAAGACCCCTGGTGCAAACGTTTCTAGACCAAGCCAGCCAGGTCAACAGACAATGAGCATATCTAACATAGATCATCGACCTGAGAATGTGGAGTAGAAGGCCGAGCCAGTAGAATCGGTTGAAACGATTCCTTTAAGCCCAGATGAACTAGATAAAACAGTGAAAATAGGAACCAAACTCACACCGGAAGAAAGAACTGAGCTCTTGGAATTTCTAAAAGATAATAAGGATGTATTTGCATGGACAGCAGATGAAATGCCTGGCATACCAACAGAGTTTACAGTCCACAAGCTCAGTACAGATCCCACCAAGAAGCCGGTGGTTCAAAAGCGCGGCCTTGTGGGCCTTGAGAAGCAAGCTTCATTAGGAGAGTTGAATATTCTGAGTGGGTATCCAACCCTGTGTTCGTCAAAAAGCCCAATGGCAAGTGGAGAATGTGTATCGACTTCACCAATTTAAATGAAGCATGCCCCAAAGATCCACATCCCTTGCCTAATGTGGAGAAATTGGTAGAGCGAGCGGCAGGGCATGAACGCATGAGCTTCCTTGATGTTAGCTTGGGGTATCATCAAGTTCAACTGCTATTAGATGATCAGGAAAAAATGACATTTTACGCAGGGGATGCGATTTACTGTTATGTAATGATGCTGTTTGGGTTGAAGAATGTTGGCGCGACATATCAAAAATTGGTCCAAGTCATTGTTAAGCTACAGATTGGCCGGAATATTGAAATATATGTGGATGATATGATTGTCACCAGTCTACGAGCTAAGGACCATGTTGACGACCTAAAGGAGACATTTCAAAATTTAAGACGGGCGCAGATGAAACTAAACCAGTTGAAATGTACGTTTGCTGTGGAAGCAGGCAAATTCCTGGGATATGTGGTATCCAAGAAGGGAATTGAGGTGAACCCAGACAAGGTTGAGGCCGTGCAACAAATGGAATCCCTCAAAACAATAAAGGATGTCCAGCGTTTAATAGGTCGTCTTACCGCTCTGCACAGATTCATCGCCAGGTTGGCAGAAAGGTGCCTTCCATTCTTCAAAGCTTTGTGAGAACCAAAGAACTTCCAATGAACTGATGAATGCCAGCAGGCTTTCGAGCAACTCAAGTAGTATCTGGCATCACCACCTTTGCTCTCCAAGCCTATCAAGGGGGAGACATTATATTTATATCTAGGGGTTGCAGATGAGGCAATCAGTTCAGTCCTCTTAAGAGAGCAATATAAATAGCAAAAGCCCATCTGTTACACAAGTAAAGTCTTGTAGGGTGCTAAACGGAATTATCCAATAGCTGAAAAGGTTGCTTTTGCATTCATCTACACCACTCGAAAGCTAAGAGCATACTTTCAATCCCATGAGATTATTGTCTACACTGACCTGCCACTGCGAAAAATACTGCAGAAGTTGGAACTGTTTGGTTAGCTGAGGATGGGCGGTCAAGCTGAGTGAATACGACCTCAAATTGCAAACCGCGCACAACCATTAAAGGCCAAGCTTTAGCAGATTTCCTGGTAGAATGCAGACTGACGGCTGCAGAAGAAACTACACAGCCACACCCTGTGTGGGCTTTATATGTGGATGGGGCAGCCAATGTTGAAGGATCAAGAGCGGGAGCGGTGCTACTAGGTCCGGATGGCTTCCAATCTAAACATGCCCTGAGGTTTAAATTTCAAACAACGAATAATGCTGTTGAATACAAAGCACTCATTTACGGCCTGAAGTTGGCGTCCGAGCTAAAAGCACAGAGCTTAAGAGTCTTTAGTGACTCTCAGCTTGTAGTAAATCAAGTAAATGGAAGCTATGACATCAAAGACCCTCAGCTCGGTCGATACCTGTTTGTGGTCAATAAATTGAAATCAAGTTTTATCTCATTCCAAATTGACAAGATACAGAGGGCAGATAACCGCCGAGCTAATGAACTATCAAAGTTAGCCTCCTCACAAGACATCAACCCTCAGAGGATCACGATAGTTGAAATGCTAGACGCACCGAGCTATACCAGTCTAAAAGTCGAGTGTCAAGTACTGAGCACAGACCCCTCCTCACCGAGCTGGACTACACCTTTGATTAAGTACTTACAAACCGGTGAACTACCAGAGGATTCATCTGACGCACGCTTGGCCAAGAGACTTTACTTCGTCTCAAACCTATCTCATTCGGAAGTGCAAAATCCATTATACGAGATCGCCTTTGCGCCCCCACTGAGCTCGCCAATAAGCGCCAAACTCACACAATTGTTTTGACACCAGCTTGCCCACGCATGCTCGGTAGGAAACCAGTATATACATACACATCAGATTAGACCGCGCTGGCCTTAGGTCACCCAGTTCGGCCATGCGTGAGGTCGATCGTGAATCATAAGATGTCACTCCTCTTCCTTAGGGTTGAACACTGTGCTACTGGAACTCTCAACCCAGTTTGTCAACGGAACACTGAGGGGGTAGTAATGTTGGGATTAGGCCCAACACCTGCTTTGGGCCACATGCAATAGGCCCAGTTATATGCTCACAGGCCCAAGATGAGGTGACACACTCACATGGGCAGTAACACATGGACCAATTGGACGAATACATGTTTGAGCTCATGTCAGTATATGGGGGCTATAAATACCCCCAACTACCTCCATGTAAGGTATTAACTCCACCACGCTTCTCTCTCTACAATTACTCTTTGAGAACATCTCTCTCTAGAACATTGAGTATTGCTAACTTGAGCGTTGGAGTGTTTTCTCCGAAGAAACATTCTCGGGAATTTCAAGTGTTGAAGCAGTTGAAGATATCTACTGTATTGGATCTCGAAGCTGCCCAAACACAACCCAAAATAAAACATTAATTTAATTACATGTAATCATGAGGGGTTTGGGTTGATGTGGAGAGTAGATCCCTCCTTACCGCTAACGTATGTGTCACAATTAACAAAGCATTTCGGTTGTATATATTATTATTTTAATGATAATGGCAAAAAGACCCAACAATTTGGGGTTTGAATTTTTTCTTTGAAAATTTAATTTTGAAAATGATTGACTAGTGGTTTGGATCATGGAGATTTTGTTGAAACTGGTCCATATACTGAGTTCATGCTAGAGAGGAGCAGTTGGTGAATTAATTAAAAACCAGGTTAATGCCAACTATCATCCCTTTACTTTAAAAAATAATGCAATGTAAACCTTCTACTATCAATTTACCTCATGTCCTTCCTCTACTACTAATAAATTCACATGTCCTCCCTCTATAATTCAAAAGCATATCAATGTCATCTCTCCATCAAATTTAGGTTAACCACACCGTTTGTTGACAGTTTAAGTGCAAATGGTCATAAACGTTTGGGCTTTTTTAATCTTTTTTTTTTGCCACCCGTGCATTGTGCCCCCACCCTTGTTATGACTCTCCATACAATACACCATCCTCCCTCCTCCAATCAAATCCCATATCTTCACAGAATTGCCTCTAGCAGTTGCAATCAACCCACCAAAAGGCAGATAAATCACATCCTCCATAGGCTTGCCATGGTTCACCTCCAAAACAGACCTTGAATTCTCCACTTTCACATCCCAATCCTTCACAATGTGATCATAAGAACCTGTAACAAACTAATGAAAGCATGAAAATGTATATTTAAATGTGTTTAACTAAAGACATTTGTGGAATTATGGGTTTAAGAGTTGTATTTTCCTACAAGTAATTTCATAAGTGTTCATTTTATTCATGTTGAAAAAATTTTGTGGTGATTGAAGGTTTGATATTAAATGGAGAAGAATTAAAAGAAAAGAACTTAAATGCAAAGAACTAAAAGGATGAGGATCTAAGGATAAATCTGAAAGTTTGAAAGCTCAAGTGAAATTTCTCCAACTTTCATTAAGAGCAAAGTTAGCAAAGTCCATGAAGTTGCCGTGACCTGCAGCGCGAAAGGTTTTCCCTAAACATCAGGGTTCTGTAACCTATATCAGGTTCCAATGCCTGGGCAATGTGGCACAAAAACAGAATTATGTAGGGTTTAGGTTACAACCCTTGTTCGACCAACTGCGTGGGAAGAAAGAAAGAAAAAATTTAATTTGCACGGTTACTATTCTAGTTATCAAACACTTTTATTTATTCTCAATATAAATAGAAACCTTAAAAATTAGGTTTAGCATCTAGAGAAGCAATTCGTAGACTTTTATTTTTTTCCTTTTTAGTGCTAAAAATTTTGTCAAAATGCAGTCAAACTTTTAGTAAGGTTAAGGAGGATCTTAATTAAGAAATTTGACTTATTATTTTATTTTGATTCCTTCATATATTTTATTGTTTAATTTTATTTTTGAGAGATTATTAATTATTTTTCAGATTTAAAAACCTTAAAAATTATATTCATTAAATTTTATATAAGATTAATGATGCACTAAAATCACTTTGGCAAATGTACTAGTCATTCCAAGTAATATAATGATGAAAAGAGTGTCGAACCCATGAGAATTGTGTTTAACTAAGTACCAAAATAATTAATCCAAATTTATTTGAACAATTGAAAAGGAAGAAAGTTTAATTAAAAAAAAATAACAATTAAAATTAAACTAATCAAGATATGAGGTACTAAGGTGTTGATTTCACCATAATCAATTAATGTAAATTTTGGATTATCAAATTGTTGAGTGTTATTGCATGTGATGGCGGATTTCTCTAAATTAATTAACTAGCTTTTTTAAGTTAAGTTAATCCTTCACTTGTTTGTTAAATTAATCATATTTCTATGTAATTTTAAACAAACTAATGAGTATTAAATTTTATGGAAACCTCTAGCTTAAGAAGGGGGAGCTCCTAACTCTCTTTTCTTCCTCCACTACCACTAGAAATTGTTGAAATTCAGACCGAAATAATTCAAACCAATTACCATTGGTCTGCAAAAAATCTATTCAGACCACAATTGGTTTGAATAATGATGGGGATTGAAGTCATGGTCAAGTTTCAATATTCAAACCCTAAACGGTCTAAAAATTTTTGGCGGGAGCACAGTAAAACCCCCAAAATATTTTCAGATCAATTATGGTTTGAATATTGTCAACGAAAAAGCAAAAAAATAATACAGGTGAAGCAGCAATATTTTTTTTTTTCATATTTCCAAACCAATAATGGTATGAAAAATGACAAAATAATTTTTGAATTTATTTATGATATTGCAGGTGCTTTGCATTTTGGATATGTACAACCCAAAAATGGTCCATAAAATTATAGATAATAAATGTAAGTTTCAGACCAATTTTGGTCTGGATAAGTGCAGCAAAGTTGCTATTTCCCCCATATTTCCAGACCAACTATGGTCTGAAAAATTGTAAGATAATTTTTCACGTCAATAAAATGCAGCTTATTTTGTATGTATGCAGACCAAAAATGATCTGAAAATTTGTAACAAATAAATCTCATTTTTCAGAAGTGACAAAGCAGGGGAAAAGAGGCATTACAAAAAGACAAGATTTAAAATAGAGTTTATTTTTTATCTATGCATATAGTGATCCGAATATGAATTTTTTTTCAATGTTATATATTTATTTATTTGTTTTATTTTTTATTTATTATTTCAATTATTATGATATTTGCTAGTTTATATCACTATCAATATGTTTATTTTATTTTGTATGTTTTGTGTTGTCATAATTATATGTATTTTACTTACTATAATAATCTTAATTTATTAAATACTAAATTATATTATGTGTATTGTGCTTTTTTTCTATAATTTGATTGATATTTTCTACTTCTGAAATAAATAATTATATTTATTTTATTTAAAA